GCACATAACAACAACAACACTGAATTTAGGCCTTCCGAAAATTAGCCAATAAAAAGCTTACAAATCACAACAGAACACTGTCCAACTTGCTTGATTTGGAAACATCATCTGGAGGCATCAGTCACTAGAGGAAAACTAAAGGTTTGCTGAGGTAGAGGCTAACAAGGGTGAAGGAGCCCCTCAGATATGGATTGCACAGTAGCCAAGATGAGCTCAGCGTGCTGGTGATCCTGAGGATGGTGCAGACAGGGCAGTGTTTTGTTCTGTTGAACATAAGGTCACCAGGAGTCAGAGAAGACTCTGGCAACTGTCTATTAAATTTGGGTGGTGGGACATCGTGTTGATTATATTGTTCTCATATTTTTCTGTAAGTTTGAAATCATTCATAACATAAAAAAGGCAACCTATCTCTCCAAAAATGAGAGTAGGGCATAGGAATTTAGAACGTTGGTAACCAAAGTGTTTGAACTTTTGGACCATGGACAGGATGGCAAATGGTCATGGGTGGGAGTGAATCTAAAAAGTAGGAAAAAGAAGGATCAATAGATCCTAAGTCAGTATGAGGTTAAGGAACTTGTATTTGGCAGAGGATGAGCAAATTATTAAAACCCAACAGTACCATGTTGGGGAGGAGACTCTTAACACTCTTAGAATTGTGTTGTAGCCTGCATAGCCATTTTTTTTCTCTTCCTTGGGCTCAAGCATGCCATGAAAAGATTTCATTCTTTGATTCACTAGTACAAGAAATAGTCAATGAGAACTCATTGTGGGTATATTAAGTACAGTGAAAGACAAAAAAGTATATAGAATCTTCCTTCTGGTGATATTTGGCTTAGGTTACATCAAATTACTATGTTATAACTTAAACAGTATTTGGGAAAAAAAAACATAGCTCTAAATGCCTTTATTGGTAATAAAGAAAAAATAAACAGTTATTAAAAAAAAAAAGAACTAAATCGTTACTCCATTGGAATCACAGAAAAGAATAATCTGATTAATTAATAAGATTAAGAGTTTGTTTTAGTTTGTGTAAAAAGGACACATAGGCGGTATCTTCTGACCCCCTCTAAGTTCACAAGAGGAAGACAGACTCACCATCAGCAGCCCAAGGCTTATTACTATGAGGCCAGAAAAGCCACCACCCTCCATCCTTTTTACCAACTCTGACACCAAGAGTCACTCACACGGCACTCACTAGTTCTCTGCTGAGTTCGATAATTCATTGCAATGGCCACATACAACTCACAGACTATACTCACAAGTATGGTTGTTTATTTTAGTGAAGTAACAGGCTCCAATTCAGGTTCTGGAACTCACTCAGGATACAATTCTTCAATCAGGACGTTGTCCCCTCTGCTATACCCTCAGGCATGCCTCTCTAGCCCTTGGCCTCTGGCCTGGCCTCTGCCCTCCTCCACCAAGTGTTACAAAGTTCTCTTACCTCTGTCAGCAGGTACACCTAGGTGCACCCAACTCCACCAGCCAGCCTCCTACCCAAAGGTACTTGGGGAGCTCTGGTGGCATAGTGCCTAAGGCATTTGACTGTTAACCAGAAGGCTGGCGGTTCAAACCCAGCAGCCACTCCTCTGAAGGAGGAGCAATCTACTGAGTCATGATGCAGACAGGGCAATGTTTTGTTCTGTTGTACATAAGATAGTTAAGGTTATGGGTCAACTTGGCTGGGCCTGGTTTTGAGTGGCTAGTAGATTTTGAGCAATCTACTTTCATAGAGATACCGCCTTGGAAACCAAAGGAGGGGTCACTGTGAGTCGCATTGACTCAATGGCAGTGAGTTTGGTTTTTGGGTTTTTTTTGGTGGTCGTCTCAGCCGGTCTTCCCAGCTGATAGGTTTTATCTGCCAAGGAGATATAGCACAGGGGTCTTGGGTCCAAGGATAAGCTCCACTCCAGCTCTTCTCTCTGCAAGGCAGTGAAATTTCCTCCTCTACCTCTAGGAAGACTCATTTTAAGTCTGGCAGCGTGACAGAACTAACCAATCCCAACATTAGAGTTCCATATACTTTATTTGCGTGGTCTCACCCAGTAATCTGGTGGGAGTTACAAAGACCATGGCTAGAAAAGCCACACAAGTAATTCACAGTACCACAGTTTGTCTGGCCTTTTTCTTTTTGTTTAGACAAGCCACTAGCTTCTTTACTATTTAAAACAAAGCTTGGGTCAAATAAATGGGTTGGTGATTCTGATAAGAAAAAGGAAACAGAAGTGAAGGAGTAAAACCATTTAGAAGACCAAAACATTCAGTCTCATCCATGTATGTGCTATGTTCCTTGTTTATAACAATTTTGTTCTATATTTTAGGATCCTTAAAGTGTACTTGTCAGGTTCTTTACACAGAATGTCAATGTTTTAATGTTTATTCCTATGGATATTAACTCTCAAGTACTGCTTGCTACTTAGTTTTCTTGGATTAATATTTTCATATTGGCAACTCCCTTCTAAATAAAAAAAAAAAACCTCTGGATTATATTCTTTGGCAAAGAAGCCTCAAAAGTTCCTAATCTTTTATTTTCCTTTTAAGACCTTAAGGAAAATTAATAAATTAGAGACTCTGGTGAATTTATTTTGTTAAGATAACAAGGACCAGAAGGCTGGCGGTTCAAACCCACCAGCCACTCCTCGGAAGGAAGGTTGGGCAATCCTACTTCCGTAGTGATACTGCCTCGAAAACCCAAGGAGGGGTCGCTATGACCTGGGGCCGACTCAACGGCACATAACAACAACAACAACAAGGAAGTGGGATTCCATTCCATCAAAATATA